ATTAAAGAATGCTTGAGTCCTTGAATTTATTCCAGACGGTCCTGTTCTATACTTCGATCCTTGGGGGGGGGGTCCCTGAACCCCTCAAACCGCCTCAATACCAGACATTGAGGAAGTTGTCAGAGGCATAGACCTTGGGGATCTGGCTCAAGGGAGAGTCCTTGGGTTAGCCAGGGACAAAAATCCTTGGGCCAGTATCCCTGTGTCTGCTCTGATAAGTGAATTACAGAGTCAGGCCTGCAATGGGGAAAAATTTTCTCACGGGGTGGGAAGTCTTGGGTTACTTTCAGAGATATAGTCTTAGGGTTTTTGGGGGTCCAGGTCCCACCATCCCATCCCTGGAAAATGAAGAATAAGTAAGCAGAAAAGAGGATAGAGTAAGTGTGATTTAATTTGGAAAAATGCTTTGAGATGTGCTTTGTAGGCAACATAAAGGACCTTGATAGTTAATTGGACAGTACAGGGTTTTGGAAGCTGTTAATAAGAGCTGGGAGGACCCAGAACCCTGTTCCTATATGTCGACAGGAACATATAAGCCACTGTAGGCCTTGTAAAAGTTTTTGTAATTACTAGGAACATCTAAATGGATTTTTAAAAAAGTATTTGTCTCACAAATTTCTCCTGAGACTAGGAATAGGCAGTGCAGGTTTCTAGCTTCTCTTTGAGAGAATGAAAGACATTTGGAGCTCTTTACCAGAGAACACCTGAATTGTAACTAAGCAAGCAACAGAGTATAATTGTGATAGGTAAATTAATGAAGATAATCACCTCGGCTGAAATTAACTGTGCAGCTTGGGAAAGCAAGGTTGTCATAAGTCATCAGGTTTAACAACAATATACTAAAATTATGAAGGAAATATTCAACAGAATAAATATAGTTGGAGGTATAGTTGAAATGCAGGATTTGAGCAAGCAAAGGAAGGTTGGAGTAGTCTGAGTAAAGGGTTTGGAGATTTAGAAAGAGAAAAATAAGTCTTGAGGGAAGAATATGAAAGGTTATAAATAAGGTGTAGGTTTTCATACCAAAACAGAGATGTATAAAAATGAAAAGAAGGTTTAAGCATGTGGAGAAGGTTTGAGGAAGTTTGTCTTTAAGTGGAAAGGTTGTGAGCTGTGGTAGTAATAAAAATTGTTGTTCTTCCCTTTTTTCCGAAGTGGCCCAATGACATCTAGGAGTGATATCTTGACTTGTATGTGAACTGCATATAAGGGAGGCAGAGTTGCACAGTCATCAGTCTCTCTCTTCCTGAGTCATCAAAGTCCAGTGGTAGGACAAAAGTCAAGACAACTGGCAAAAGCCTGGGATACAGTGGATGACTCTGGCATCTTCCATGTCTGACCAAGGTCTAAACATTCTACAGCATCTGCTTCAGGTGTCTTTGTGGCTGTTGAAAGAAACTGTTCTCATCTGAGGAAGTCTTCACAAGCTTGAAGTAGACATGTAGACATCCCCCATCGCACCAACAGGTTTGAGACCTTTTAGTCACCCTCAACCCATCCGCCAAGACGGTTTTACTGGGGTGTGGCCGCTGCACAAGCTACAGCTTCTTGGAGCCACAGATGAGAGTTGTGTGAAGGCGGAACATCCCTGAAAAGGGTTTGGCAGTCCTTACTCCAAAGGTTCCAGTCCTCCTGAGTATCCCAAAACTCAGTTATAACCCCATCACAGCCTTTGGCTACAATTGGAATTAAGCTGAAAAAATGTATACATCCCGTTTCCTCAGTGGGGCAAGTTACCTTGTTTTACAAACATTTCCTTGAGTTAAATTGCATCTACTCATTCCTGATATTCCTCTGATATTCACTTAGATTATTCTTGCTAATAATACTGAAGAGCGGTGCCTAGAGGTTGTGTACGGGAAAAGTACATTTCCCTCTGTTCAGCGTTCAGGCTTTATCTAAGTATCCACCAGGCTAGACGAATAAGGATCTTTTTTGCTTAATTGCTGGACTCCTGCTTACTGACCTCACCCTCACCAACCCAATGAGATTAGTAAGCAATGGCTCCTTCGGGTCAACTTCTAATTGAATTCCACCACAACTGTAAAAGTTTTATGTGTAACAATCTTTATTTTGAGAAAAGCAACAGGATTAGACTGTTACCATTTGAGAACTAAGATATGTGAACGGCTTCATGTGTTTTCTATTAAAAGCAGTGTTGGAAGGTCTATTAAACAAGATGGTCCTCAATGAATTTTTTTTAAATTTTGATCCTAAAATAATAATAAATATCAATATTGAAAAAGTGGAACAAAGTAATGAATTTCCTTCAGGTTTATTTGAATATATACTGATGAATTTTATTTACACAGTGCCTAGATATGCAAGCTTTTATTATGTTTTATTATCTATAAATTCCCAAATTGGATTAAGAATTTTACATACAATATTACTTTAATCACTGTAAAGAAACACTTTAATCATGCTTCTCCTATCTCAAATCTCTCTGAAAATAGCGACAGATTCATTTTACAAATCAATTGCTCAAGGATCCTTTTCGAGATTTTTTTCCCTCTAGCACATAAATCACATTATCCATGGCATACAGAGTATCTAGGCAAGGTAGAAAACACAAATAGTATGTGTGTATTAAGAACTCTCTACACTTTCAGGTAAGTTACTAAACTGACGTTCTTCCTGTAGCCCTGATGTTTAAAGGTTAATTCCGCAAGATATTCTTTCCCCACATAACTAACTGCTGGAAGGCCAATATTTTTGGAAGGCCAATGATTTTGTCAGACTCTACTAAACTGTATTAAGTTTTACCACTAGCCAGTTAAAGACAACACCCTAGTAATCTTCACAAGTGCCTGGAACCTGGAAAGATATGAAGGAAATACCTCTGCCTACTTTCCCTGGAAAAAAATACCCATTCCAGGTACTGTTAACAACTAACACCCTATTTTAAAATACCAAGTCCCTGAGTTTACTCAAATTGTTTGATCTGTGGACAGTGGTCAAGGACATACCCTTTAACACAAAGTTTCCAAGGGAAAATGTTTACAAGAAAGAGATGACTTCCTGAAGTAGACAGTTAAAATAAAGATAACAAAGAAACCTGTCTTACAAATGGATATTAAGATGCGTTCCATTTACTTTTTTGTCCCCCTGCAATAGTTGTTTGTATTACCCACTCTCCTTTAGAGCATTCTAAGCCTTTGGGGAAGTTATTATGATTCTCCAACCTTACTAAGAGGTTTTGTTTCAACTATTTAAAAAATCATATTTCCTATCCCTCCTCAGATTTATAGTAGTAGGTTGATTGATTTTACCAATGGATGTGTGATACTCAGTTTTAGGGAGAATATTCTGCATTTGTGTGTTTTATTAGTAGCCTATTTTTGTTTTATAACTGTAATAATCCATCTTTCAGCTAAATTGCCTAATTTGTCACATAAGCAACTGTCTTATTGTGTTGTTAACTTACCCTTAAATTAGATGGCCCAAGATAATAGTTTTATGTAACCAAAGGGAAATTTTTCTAAAGTTGATTTTTTTGTAGAGTGTAAATGACTCCATTTTGTCCTGTATTCTCATCTTGCTGTATGATTCCTGCATGAATTGCACAACCAGATGCAACAGCTGGTTCCCTTCAGTGTCTTTTTTTCTCCCCTGATTGGTACAAAAGGTTGAATTGCTAAAAAGAATGAGGGAGGGTTCCAAGAGCCCCTTTAATGTCACCTGCCTTATCTACCATGACAGGTCTTTCCTTTTAATTTAGTACAACTAGCTATACCAACAAGGACATCCTTTCTTAATCTTGTATAGCTAATAATATACCTTCTCTTTAACAAGCACACTTTTTTCTTTGTATGACTAACTGCATTATAATGATCAATTGATTTTTGTCATATGTAATATATAAATAATGTTAGCTAAATTATGAATGAAATATATTTTTCTTTTTTTATTCAGTTTTTCTAATTAATTAATTTCTTTTTAGTTTTCAACATTTACTTCCACAAGATTTTGAGTTCCAAATTTTCTCCCCATCTCATCACTCTGCCCACTCCAAGATGGCATGTATTCTGAATACCCCTTCTCCTAATCTGCCCTCCCTTCTATCTCTCCCCCCTTTCTCTTATCTCCTTCCCCTTCACTTTTCCTGTAGGGCGGGATAGATTTCTATACCCCATTTCCTGTATATCTTATTTCCCAGTTGCATGTGAAAACAATTTTTTTTAACTTTTGTTTTTAAAACTTGGGGTTCCAAATTTTCTCCCTTCCTCCCTTCCCCACCCACTCTCATTGAGAAGGCAAGCAACTTGATATAGGTTATACGTGTGTAGTCAAGCAAAACACTGCCATAGTTGTCAAAAACTAACTATATTTCCCTTAATCCTATCCCATCCCCCATTTATTCTATTCTCTCTTTTGACCCTGTCCGTCCTCAGAAGTGTTTGCTTCTGATTGTCCCCTCCCCCAATCTGCCCTCCTCTCTATCACCCTCCTGCTCTCTTGTCCACTTCCTGCCCTATTTTCCTGTAGGGTAAGATAGATGAAATACATATTTTATCAACTGCTGATGGGGTGTGTCACACTCTAACTGTAATAAACTGCAGTAAAACCCATTTCTGAATCTTTCTGGCAATGTTATTGGCACTAAATAATGAAATGGGTAAGAAAATTCACACAAAACCCATTAATGAACACTCAGACATACAAAGCTTCAGAAATAGAACAGCTTTATTTACACTTTAAAATACTTTACAGATACCAAGGGGTCATGCCTTAAGAGCCACTGTTCCTCTTGTTTGTCCTTAATTCTCAAATAGGGCTAATGGGCAGGGGGGGGATGTCTTGACTTGCAAGTGAATTGGGTTAAAGTAAGGCAGGGCTTTGCAAAGATATTTGCCTCACTATCTCTTCCAGGGTCATCAGAGTCCAGTGGCAAGACACGCAATGGGAGATCTTGGCCTTTTCAAGCTGAGGTCTTTCCCAGGTCTCAGTTTGTCTGAGGCAACACCCATTCAGGGATTAAAGCCTAGGTAAGAACTGAGGCAAAAGATGACCTAGTTTGACTTCCCAAAAGAATCGATTTGGGAAGGGAAGACCCTCAGAGTTTCCAGCCAGAACGAAAACAGTAGCGATTTACAATCACTCAGAGCCATCAAAACCCAAGTAATAAGCAAGCGAGGCTTGGGCTAGGACCAATCAGTGAGAGCCAGAGGGATTTGGGTTTGAAGGCATAGTGTGGTAGTTCCATTTGAATCCCAAGGGGCTTTATCAAAGCCTGGTTTACCCAAGCTGTATTTCAAGAAATCATGAATGAAAACCACATAAGACAAAAGAGTTAACTGTCCAGGCTTTTTTGAAAAATAAAACAAAAACAACAATCAGAGCTATGAAGTAACAAGGTAATACCCCTCCCTGTCCCATGGACTTCTCCAGGAGAATATATAGGACTAGAGACTGCTCCTGGTTCAGGTTCGTCTTCTACATTAATTCCCGTAAGTCCCAAGGACAGGGTGACTGCTCAGCCAGCATTCGTATAGAATTTAATTGAGTAGAATAAAATCATCCCCTGGGTGATTAAGTGACAAAATGAGAAGAGACTGTCTGTAGTCTTGGCTTTCGATCTAGTCATATCTAGTCATATCACCTCCCATTTTCCATTTCCTGCTCACAGGACCTCCCCCCTCACAAAGCTCTATAAAACCATCTACAACCCTGAGAATGGAGTTCAGAGGCCAGGCAGGCAAGGGTGGCTTCTCCCCTGCAGTTCTCTCTATGGTCTTCCTGGAATGTAGTCTTGACCTTGGTCATCTTTTTAGGGACCCATTTCCCAATTTTTCTGATGAAAATGCTGATCTTGACTCTATACAGTTCCTGAGAAAAAAGAAAATTAACCTAGGCCCTTCCTTTTATAGGAAGGGCTCAAGGGTTGACTATGACTTGTCTACACCACACACACACACTCACACTCACACACTCTCACACTCATGCTCATGCTCTCACACTCTCACACACTCACACTCACACACACACACACACACACACACACACACACACACACACACGCACGCACACACGCACACACACAGACCCCTATTCCTCTGGTTTAGAACCATAAAACCCTTAAAGAACTTGTTACCCAATGCCATTGTCTTAGAGATGGATAGGGGAACTGAAGATCAGACCTGTTAAAAGGCCTAAGGCCACGTGTGTGGGAGGTCCAGAACTTAAAGTCAGATCCTATGGGCTGAAGTAAAATGCCTTTTCAAGAACATCAGGGCTACAAGGCCTCTTCAAAATTACATTTGTCTCCCTTCTATGTGCCAACACCCTTACATTCCTATAGCACAGGAGGGCAAAACCTTACACTCTTTGTGTTTCTTCATTTATTCTGTACTTCTTCCTCTTCATTTTCTGTTTCTTCATCTGTATCAGAAACTTGGAGGTCCTCATACAGAACACTGACATGACGCTCCCGGACCAGCCTATTGGGGTTGTGTCCCGAGAAGGAGCCTGGAGTACCTGGGTTGTTGGGAGGGATGACAAAGATTCTATTAGTGATTGGGTACAGGCCATACTCCCCAGGTGGATATTTTGGGGCAAGTGAGGCCCAACATGGGGAGACTCTGGTTTTCCCTGCCTTCTCATAAGTATGGGGACATGATCTGGGTAATAATCTTCCCAATATCCTTGATTTCTACAACACCACCTTCCTTTCAGTGGTGGCCCACAATCTCCATTCCATAGTGGAAACAACACTAGGTCCTCCCTCCCACCTGTCCCTGAGTAGTTTTCCCCTGTAAGCCCATGACCCTCACTCCCCATTTTCCTGACCCATGCTGCTTACCCCTGCACCTGATTTCCATAGGGGAGCTGGCTGTGTGTCATTGTCCAATGGGGATCTCTGGAGCGATCTGTCCAGTACACTCTGAGGAACTTGTTTGGAAACAGCTTTGGGTTCCTGGGCCAATTTCTGGCCAGATTGGAACAGAGGGCTTCCAGGCCTCTTGTACTGATGGCCGTATGAGCCACGCAACAATGGCTTTGAACACATTGAGGGATCTTGAGACTGTCTAGGAGGATGGGACAGAAGACTCGGAGGAACTGAGCCTTCTTTGGGTGGAGAGATTGCTGGTTTCTGAGTCTGGGCCATGAAATCTGGCCTTTTTTGGCAGGGCTGAGTTAAACTCCTATCTCTCTGCTGGAACCAGTTTTGGAGACTCCAGTCTTTATTCTTGGGATATGAAGGGGCTTCAGTTTCATTCTGAGCTGCCTGGACTGGAGGAGGTGGAATCTTCTGAGGGGGGTTGGCTGTGAATGGCACAGAAGCAGTCCTCTGAGTCTTTGCCAGAGGAACCCGGGGAGGGAGCATCCGATGAGGAGGTTTTGAGTGTCTACTTGATGGAGGGCAAGGAGCAGCAGGTTGGCATGGATGCTGCAGAGAAAAGAAACATCACTTGTCTATGTCTATCGGATGTGACCAGTACTCCACTCTCTTCTCTCTTTCCTAGAGCATTTGAGAGCTTGGTGGGGGGTGGGGGGGAAGGTTCAGAGTCTGAGGCACTGGACCAGGTCAGGAATTGCAGGAAAAGCCCTCTCCCATCTACCAAATGGAGTCACAGAATCATTTGACGTGTTGAGCTACCCAGCACAATTACAGACATCAGCCTGGCTTGGCTTAATCGACAACATTAGTTTTCAGCTCTGGGTAGAATGATAAAGAATCTCCCTCATTCTTCCCAGTGCTATCATTTTGGACATAGAGAAAAGAAAAGGCTGAGAGGGAGCAGCCAGTGAATTGGAACATCTCTATAGAAACTTGTAAATCTCAAATTTGGGATATGAGACTTATTCCTGAAGATGGGCCAGAAAGTGACAGTCCAGGGTCCCCATAACCAGCTGACATGTGTGTCTTAGTGTTTATGCTGAGATTCCTCAAGACCTACCAAGGATTTGGCTGCACTCACGAGCTGAGAGCCCTATGGATGATGCCCCACCTAGATAAGGGTGGCAGGTGAGTAAAGGCTGGGATCCCAACAATGAGGAAGGGTCACACTGTGAAGATTGCCTCCTGTTATGCTTTCTGGCACTTAGCTATCAGGAATTCAGGTGCTGGGAGCTGACTTGTGTACACCACACACACACACACACACACACACACACACACACACACCCCTATTCCTCTGGTGTAGAACTAGACAACCCTTAAAGAACATGTTACCCAATGCTATTGTCTTAGAGATAGACAGGGGAAATGAAGATCCCCCAGGAGCCAGTGAGGAGGGACACAGGAGGATAGGCAGTGTTTACATTCTATAGCTGAACTCAGGACTCTGGGTCAGAATACTGACTTTGCCCATTTCCTCATTTGGGGATCTGGGGTAAATCACTTCCCTCTTCTATACCTTAGTTCTTCATCTAATAAATGCTCCCAAAAGCACTCCAAGCACAGATAACCCACATTCTAATGACCCAAATGGTTCTTTAGCCCCTGGTTCTGTGATCAGTCTTACCCGGATACAGCTTAAACTTTCATCAGAATCTATATGCACAGGTTGTCTCTTCTGGGGAGGGGTGGACTGCCTCTTCTGGGACAGGGGCCGTTTCTCAACTCTCACCTTCAGTGTTTCCCTTTGGACCTCATTTGTCCTGCAAAAAGGATAGTTATGACACCACTTGACTGCCCTGAACTCCCCTCTCATTCCAAATCTTGCCTCACCCCAAAGTCACTTCTCCAAACTAATTCTAGGGCACTGAAGTTTTCTGTTATCAAGTCTGGTATTAAGTCTCTGAGGGGAAGGAGAATGACCTTCATATCTGCATTCCAAACAACCCTATACCTTCCCTTCTCCAGGATTCTCCTCACCATGCTCTGATGGTCCTTATTCCCAGGTGATTGGAGAGTAGCCCAAGTCTCTCACAAAAACCCATGGCTCCCTGAACTCATGTCCCAGAATTCCATTTCCCTTGTTTGCATTCATGCCCCCCCACCTCGTGCCCTGATATCCACCTTTAGATAAACCATTAGGGAGGCCCAAAAATGGATTCTAGCCAGTGCTTTCCTCCCTCTACTTTGTCCTCCTTACGTTTCAAATAGCTTTTTCTTCATGAAAAGTTTGGTTTCTTGGACTTTGATAAGAGATTCCTGAGGGAGTCGCTTAGCCAATTCCTTCTCCTCTTGCTCCTGGGTCATGACTCTGAGCTTGGGGGCCAGGTACTTGGATGGGCAGTACTTTGGACACATCTTGTTTGTCTTAATGTGTCCATGAGATCCACAGGCACCACATATTAGCTGCAGAAGAAAGGTATCAAAGATTGAGCCACCTTGGTATTTTGACCTCTCAGAAGTTTCTTCATCAGCATCATCCATCATCGATATAAAATTTGGAGTATTAGAAGTCAGGCTGCACATAGGAGGTCAAAGTTTAGGCTTGGGACGTGTGGGTTGTACCAAGACTACAGCTCCAAGGGAAAATCGGAATCCGTGGTGCATAACCAAGAGGAGTGAGTATAGGCCAAGGCTTAGGAAAAAGGCACAGCCTACTGCCCTGGGGAGATCCCATTCTTCCTCCTAGGCCTCTGGGAGGGTGGTGGGTGAGGACACCCCTGGGGGACCTCATGAACGTTGGTCCTGATAGTTGACTCTCACCCTTTACAAGGTCCCATAATTTCCCCAGCCTAGTTCCTTTACTTACATTCAGTTTGGGAGCCTCTGGCTTGGAAAGGTTCTTTGGGGAAAGGTGTCCCTTCTGCTCTTCCCTTTCCTTTGCTATGCGGAGTCGGCGAAGTCTGTCTTGGAGTCTTTTCTTTTCTTTCCGCAATTCCTGCTTCTTCTGTTCATCTGGTTGAAAGAACTGCCGGCTGTCCCAGCAAAGAGCCCAGAAAAGGCCCTTCAGAATCTTCCTTCCAGGCTTAGCATAGAGGCTTCCTTCTTAGACATGGCACCCACCCATACCCAGTGGGGCATCCCATTGGGCATCCTTATCCCTATCAGGCCCACATGCCTCAGAGCCAGACCTCTGATCTCTGCATGAAGACACAGCATTCTTAGTCTCCCACCCAACCCCAAGATTGCCCCTTCCCTCAAGGCTCTGAATCTCCCCAGGATCAGTCAGAGAGGAACGGTGAGCAAAGACTCTCACCTCCTTTTATACCATGAGAAATAAGAGCACAAAGAATTGACGTAACTTGCACAATTATTGTCACACTTCTGGCAGGTGAGTAAGACAGGGATTATTACCCCATTACCCTTTCCCATTTTTATTCAGTTTTCAGTCATGTCTGACTCTCCATGACCTATTCAGGATTTTCTTGGCAAAGATACTGGAGTGGTTTGCCATTTTCCTTCTCCAGTTCATTTTACAGATTAGGAAACTGAGGCAAACAGGGTTATAGTGACTTGCTCAGGGTCACACAGCTAGTAAGTGTCTGAGGCTAGATTTGAACCCAGGAAGATACATTTTCCTAACTCCTCATCTGTCACTCTATCCACTTTGCTACTTAGGTGTCCTGAATTTTACAGAGGCAGAAATTAAGGTCCAGAGATGAAGTGATTTGTCCCACATCACATAGCAGACCCTGGAACCAAAGTTAACCCTGGAGTCCTCTCCACAATCCAGGCAGCCTGGGGTTCTTTGGTAACTGAGGATGTAATTCCCCCAGGTTAACCTGGTAATTGCTTTTTTTTTTTGGCTAGGCAGTGGGGTTAAGTGACTTGCCCAGGGTCACTCAGCTAGTAAGTGTTATGTGTCTGAGGACGGATTTGAACTCAGGTCCTCCTGACCCCAGGGCTGGTGCTCTATCCACTGCACCACCTAGCTGCCCCATGGTAATCGTTCTTGGTAAATCTTTTACCCAAGTCACTAAGACTCTCTCTTCCTGACCTCTCCCTAAACACTAGTCAGACTCTTCTTTCCCCACACAGTCCCAACCTACCTTCAGGTGGCTCTCAACACCACCCACCACCCACCTCCATCTTCACCCCACCCCCAATCATGACCTTGAGCTTACATAGAGTTTTCATCTTTGGTGGTCTTCACATGGATGTAGGTTTTGATCACTGCCGGATGCCGGACTATCTCACTCCGCACATACTCTTTGCCAGACTCATCAAGATACGTTCGATGGATAACCAGAGATACAGAACTTGAGGTGGCTGAGCCCCCATCTATAGAAGAGAGAAAGAAAATGAGATGTAGAGATGGGTAGAAGATGAGGGACAATGAGAGAGACAGAGACAAAGAAAAAGGTAGAGAAAAGGAGAGAAAAGGAAAGACAAAAAGAGAGCAATGACATTTCAGAAGTGCTTATAAAGCTGTTGAATGTTGAACGTTCTGTTCAGGAAGCTTGTCTTGCTGCAACGAAGGGTATTAGCCATCCCACTTCCCACTTCCCCCATAGACATGCCTCATCCCAGACATCCCACTTTTTCCTTCCTCACATACCCTCCTTCTCTGTCTTGAATTTTTCTTGGAGACGAGCACCCCTATCTCCTCCAAGCATAAGCTGCTGCAGTTCCTGCCACTCTTGCTTCTCCTTCTGTCTCTGCAGCCTCTCAAGATCGGTCTTACCCCCCAGGAGGTCCTCAATTTCATGACACATCTTGTCCATCATACGATCATTTTCTTCATCTGATATGCTACTGTCTGTATCTGTGGACAGCACATCGGTAGAAGCCAGGACCCTGAGAGGGACAGAGGAGGATGGTTGGGTAGACTTGAGAAAGTAGCTTGGGCATCATGCCCCAAATTTGTCCTCTACCCATAAGCAATATACCTTCAGGCCAGATATTCTGAAACCCTTTCACCCAGAGGGGAAGATGGAGCTGGCTAGAGCATTAGCCAGTCAATCGTGAACACACCACAGAAGTATCACAGATTCTAGCAGGGCACTGTGAGGGGTAAAGCCTAACTCCAAGTTAACTTGGTCCTAGATGCCAATCTGAATAGTGGCCTTGGGCCCTACACCAATCTCTCCCAGCAGGAACCAAAGGCATGTTGGGGCATGCAGGATCCAGTGTACAAGTGGGGAATGACAACATATAACAGAGAGGGAGAGACGTGCCACTCAGGGTTCGGAAGCTTACGGCAGATGGAAGGGAGGAGAAGCTTTGTCACACACACGATCATCCAGAACCTCTGGGGACACTCAGAGAGATATGGTGATATCCAGAGAGACGTCCAGATTCACAGACACACTCCAATAGACCCAGAGAGCCCCAGAGACCCAAGAACCCTCCGAAAAAGAGACAGAGTCACACTCAGTTATCTTCAGAGAGAATAGGGATGCACAGAAAGGTGTTGAGGCATGGTGAGACAGAGAAGTCTGTTGAGTCCCTCCTGGAGAGACACTGAGATTCTTAGTGAGACAGATGCATCTAGAGAGTCCTGGAGACTCACCAACAGAAAAACAGACTGGGAAACACACACCACCATGGAGAAACACACACATACACACACACTCAGAAACCCTCTCAGAGAATCACAGAGACATAGACATACAACATCTGGCAGAGAACCAGAGTCTTCCCATGGAGGTACGCAGAAAGAAGCATTCATTCAGAGACAGCTCCACAAAGATGCAGTCCCTTCCTCCTCCCTCTAATCTTAGGGATCCCTTCCCCAGCACTGGACTCCAAAATTACTGCCTCCCAACCAATCCCCCATACCTGTTTTGGAGGTCAAAAATTCTTTGGACCTCTTGCTGGAAGTGTCTCTGCTGCTCTACTCCTGAGGACTGGGACACCCGTGCAAATTTGGTGAGGGCTCTAGAATTGGCCCCTGATTGTAGCTCCTTGGTAGACAGGGCTCGGACAGCTGCAATCACCTCCCAGCGAGAGAGCTTCTTAATCTGATGTACAGACATGGAAGGAGACACTCATTCCAAGATTGCCCTGGGAGGGAGCCTGCCTGGAGTGCTCCTAACCTTCCCTGAATGCCTCTGGGGCCCTCTTCTACCTCCTTAACTTCATTCAGACTGCCTGCCCCCTGACTCTTTCATGACTTGAATGGAATCTGACCACATCTCTACAGGGGGGAAATGATTCACTTCCTTCAAGCAAGGCAACATCACCCCTTTAGAGACTAAATTCTTCCTTTATCTCCTCTACCATCTCCCACCTGCCCCCCACACACACCTAGTAGCAAGTCATCGCTGCCTGCCTGCTACCAGAAATACCTACTCACCTCCTCCTCTGAGATCCTAAATATCCTCAGCAATTTCTGGGCTTTCTTCAGGGTGAGACGTCGAAGGTCTGCATCAGTACCCTTCAGCCTCTCCCCCTCCAAGCGGATTTTGTTCTCCTGCTGCAACATCAGAGTGAGATCCAAAGATTCAGGGTATGCCTCAACCACCTGAGGTACCCCCACATGCCCACCAAGTTTCCTTGTACCCTCCTCCAACTCACACACTGCCACACTCACCAGTCCAATATCCCTCTTTTCCATAACCCTACCTTGGCACCATAGCCCACTAGAATCTCTCCACCATTTATGCTTCCATTGTGCATCTCTGCATGCCTCACCCCCAAATCCCTTCATCCTTCACCCTCTAGGATTTTCTGTCTTTATCTCTTTTCACTCTTCCATCCCCCACCTCCAATCAGTCCATCTTTGATTCCCAATAGCTAAGTAGACCAAGTATCTTTATTCCACCATCCATCCCACTGTCCTTCTACATCTTCTTCAACCCAGCATCTGTCCATTCCAAAATGTTTCCATCCTCTGTGTCCCCTACCCCCACACCAAATCTCTCCTTCCTTTCCTTCATATCCCTTCATCCCTTCCAACTTGGAATCTTTCCCTGACCTATCCTTCCCCTGCCCAACGCTCATTCAACTCACTTTGAGTTTGACATAGGAAATGGCCTCCCCACAGCCTGTGGGGTCAGCTGCTCCTCTCACCTCCAGCAGACACTGCCCCTTGGTGGCTGCTAGAAAGGCCCGAGTTGTGTTCCATGGGGCAGCCTGGACCTAGTGTTCAAGGTAGGGAGCCAGGTTAGTCTGAGTGAAAGGCTCAGCATTGAGGCTCTATAGCCCTTCCCCATCCCTTCCAATTCTCTGCTTCCTCCAAAATGGTGACTTTTCTCAATGGCAAATAAGGGTAGCACTGGCTTGCTGCATGCCAGACTAATCAAGACTAAGGAACAATATTTGAGAAGAAATAGTACTTAGAAATTTAGTCATTATCTCTTCATACATTCAGCCTTCCTTTGGGAGTCTCCCAGGATAGAACCTCCCCTCTCTCTCTCTCAGACCAGGGGATCCAGAAGGTCAGTTAAGTCTCCCGCTCCACACGAGATGGCTCATAGTTACCTCATCTTCTAGACACATGTCATCATCACTTGCCTCCTCTGGGTTCAAAAGAGATACCTCCCCATAGCCAGCATCCTGGAGAAATAAATCTTGTCATAATTCAGTAATTCAATCATTCCATAAGCATTTATTAAGCACTTACTATGAGCCAGGCAGTGCGTTTAGCAATGGCGATTCCAAAGAGAGGCCAAAGACAGTCTCTTTCCTCAAGGAACTCACGATCACAAGGTGGGGATGGTCCCAAGAGAAATAGGGGGTCCATTTCAGGCAGGGCCATATTCTCCCCACCTCACCCCAAGATCAGGGGCTACTCAGAGAATGTAAAATGATAGGATCTCAGATGCAGGAAATGTCCCTAGAGGCCAACCAGTCTGACCTCCTCTTTATACGTAGGAGGAAAATGAGTCCCATGATTTGCCCAAGATCCCAGAGTTATTAAGCAGTAGAATCAGGATTCAAACTTGGGAGCCCTGATGCCCAGATCAGCATTCATTCCATGACCCCACATTACTTCTCCTCTCATGTCTCACCCCATTCACCAAGCAAATGGGCATACCCACCTTGAGACGCTGCTGGGCAGCCAGCATGCTATATAAAGCACAACATTGCTCTGGAGTCAACATGACCCTCAGCTCGTCTTCACTTGGCAACCGGAATCCAGTCTTCAGCACCCACCAATTAAAATAGGTCCCTGGAAGACACAACCAGTTACCCTGGTGAGAGAGCAAGGATGGGGCCAAGCTTCAACACCACCTTTGAGCTTCATGCCCCCTTCCTCATCCTGGCATTGGAGGCCCATCAACATTCCCTCCCTTATCTTCCTATCTTCCTTGACAGGCCACTTCTGAAGGCTGCCATCTATCACCTATCAGTCTTTCTTCCTCTACTCTTTATTATCCTCTCTACCATGCCTGGTCCCTCTGGGTTTGGCCCCTCACCCGTCCGATGGAAATCTGAACACTTAGTAAGCCTCCTTCGAATGCTGCTCTCAGCAAGTCTGGGGAAAGCCTTTCGGATGTCCTCCATCCGAATCCTCCGAGGTCTGTGAGGGCTTCTCCAAAACTGCCTATATATAAACACCTGGAGGAGAAAAGAGGAGGGAAAGTGAAAGAAGGTTAGTGGGCAGATGCCTGAGACCTCTGGTCCTCTCCTCCCATATCCCTGAGACCATCCTCTAATCCTTAACCCTCTCCTTGCCTTCCCAGCCTGACTTTGCCATCTACGCCTTCCCAGGAGCCCATCTCATTCTCATACCCTAGGCTCTGTGGCCTGTTTCTACACTTGTGTTCCCATGCCTCCTAGGAATTGGAGTGGTAGCAGGCAGACCCCCAGTCTGCCTTTCCAATGTTGAGTCCTTGACACTTCTTTGAAAGTACAGAACTAGCTCTTGATCCCAGCCCTGTACCTGAGACCTCCTTCCTTGTCCAACTCCACAACCCCTCCCCCCACATACATATGCATATTACCTGGAGAAATTCATGGATGTAATTCTTTGCCATTTTTGAGTTGGGGGCAGGAACTTCATCCAGTGGGCACTGCTGCCCAACAGTAAATATATCCTTCACTTCCCTTAGAAAGTAGCCTGCTTTGGTCACCACAACCACAAAGTCTGTGTCTGCCATCTGATGTGGGTAGATGGGAGCCCGAAAAAGTTTGTTCTCCAAAGCCTATTGAGAGAAGAGAAAGTGTCTTCCATATACTTTTTACAGACTGGATAAATGATACTCCCATCCTCACCCTGGATTTTCCAGACAAACTGGCCACCTTACAATTCCCCAAAAGTTGCCTTCTCTCACTTCCATTCACTTGTATTGTCCATTGAAGATAGACACAGAGATAGATGGCAGCAAAGAAAAGGAAGAATAATCAGAGGAGGTGGGGAAGAGAGGGGAAAAAACAAAGAAAGGAAAGATGGAAGGAAGGAAAATAAAGAAGGGAAGAGATAGAGAAATACTTTGAGAGATATAGAGGGAGGAGAGAAGGGGAGAGGGAGGAAGGGAGGGAGAGAGAGAGTGAGGTAAAGATAAGCAAAGATGATACAATAGCAGGAAGAGAGGGGAGAGACAGGAGAATGGAGACGATGATGTAATGCTCAGTTCACCTGGCTGCTGGAGCCCTGACTCAGGTAGGTCTAAGATCAAAGGGAGAGAACATTTTACCTGCAAGAACTGTCCAGCATGGAGTTTCCCCAGGAAAGGTGAGGATGAACAGAACACAAGGTTTCCATATTTGTGGGCAGGAGGCCCAGTGTCCTTCCCAATTTTCTGTGGAAGAGAAAGTAAGGAACTTTGGCAGGGAACTAGACCCAGGCACTAAGGTGAATGCTCAACTCCCAGAATCCCCTCAAGTCTATTAATCAATGCCCCACTTAACTCATGTGCTCATTTGTTGTTCCATCATTTCAGTCATGTCTAACTCTTCATTTGGGGTTTTCTTGGCAGAGATATTGGAGTGGTTTGTCATTTCTTTCTCCAGCTCATTTTATAGATGAGAAAACTGAAGCAAACAGAGTTAAGTGAACTGCCCAGGGTAACACAGCTAGTAAGTGTCTGAGGCCAGATTTGAACTCAGAGGATGACTCTTCCTGACTTCAGACCTGGCACATCACCTAGCTAGCTTCCCCATGTGCACATTACTAATTATAAAGATATCAGGAGGTCTCCCTGGGAGGGGAGAGCCTTGAAGTATGGAAGGATGGGGAAAGAGAGAGAAACCTACTCAAAGGAAAGGAGAAGCACTAAGGAGGATGATAACACTGGAGATGATGGTGTTGGTCTGACTGATTCCAGTGGTCTGTTTTAGGAAGGTGTGGCTAGGTACCTTGAGAGGAAAGTCAGTGCTGGTCTGTGGAGTCCTTGAAGTCAGAGTAGAATAATCTCTATGAAATTCAGAGAAGAAGCAGTAAAACCTTTCCTCCACAAAGGACCAGTGAGCCACTGGGAAGAAATGCCTTCAGAGTCACTACCAGATATAAAAAAGAATAGAATCAGTTTGGACATGGTTGGTGAAGAGGGAATTTCACATATCATTCTATTCATCTGCCTCCAACATTCAGAGCTCAAGGCTTGGGATGGAAATTATGATTCATAAAATTGTGACCAGACTAGGAAGGAGAGGGACAGGGGAAGAAAGAGAGAGAGAGAGAGAGAGAGAGAGAGAGAGAGAGAGAGAGAGGGGGAGGGAGGGAGGGAGGGAGAGGGAGAGGGAGAGAGGGAGGGAAGGGGAGAGATGCAAAACTAAGCAAAAAAGAGAAAGGGAGGGAGGTAGAGAAAGAGAAGAATGAGAGTAGACAGAGAGGGGACTTGAGATAGGGAAGAAAGAGTGAGCAGATAAAGGGATAGCCAAGAGAAGGGAAAGAAAAGAGGAAAAAGAAAAAGAATTGATGAGATAACAAGAAGGAATAAGAAAGAGAAAAAGCAGAGAAATGGGGGGGTAGAGTCAAGACAGAGGACAGAGGAAGGGGCAGAAGGAAAAGAAGGATTGAAATGCATACAGGGAGGCCAATAGAAAAATAAGAACATAAGAACATGCATCCAGAGAGGGCTAGACACAGTATCTTGGAGAAACACAGAGACAGACAGGGAGAAGCCTTGAAGGAACATCTACTGAATATGGCTACTGAAGTTGTCTGAAATCCTGAGCCATTGCTGCACCACTGGGCAAAGAAAGGGCATCTCCTCCTACTCTGTGCCTGTGGAGGAGCTCTGTGTGTCTCCTTCATGACTGACAGGGGCAGACCCATGGTCCCAGTCCATCTCCCTGGTTGGAAGTTACGACTTACCCTTTTGTAATAGTTCTGGATCTGGGAGGCCATTCCAACCTGGTTCAGTAATGGTGGATTTTCCTCACTCCACTCAACCAGAATGAGATCTCCATCTAGCCCACTCAAGTCCTGGATTGTTTTCATGAAAAACATGTGACCTCCCCCTGAAGCTGTCAACTCCTGCTGCCGTTCCTGGTGGAAGAGGCAGGAACACATTAATGTCACATCAGTGGCCCCACCTCAGGGTCCTTTCCATCTCTTAGAACTCAAAGCATGGAACCACACCAATTTATCACTAAAACATTGCCTTGAGACCACCAAATCTACATCCTCTTAATATATGCTATTTTACATATGAGGAACCTATGGACCAGAGTGGCCCAAGGGAGTTGTCTCTAGTCCCACAACAAAGCAGGGACAGAGCTAGGTATCCTGACTCCCATCCACTGACTCCAGGGCATTTCCTCCGCCTTTCTACCTAGCATTTCTGATCCCAAACTGAGATCTCAAAAAATATATATAAGGACAGATCAGAGGACTGACAGGTCTTACCTGGGCTTTCTTTTGGATGTGATGAATCAAGCTGCAGACAGGGTGGGGCCCTCTGCCAAGTCGCCTGAGTTGGGGTCGATGAAACAGGCGGAGTTGCTCAGCTCCCATGTGGGTAGGAAAGAGTTTGGAGTGTAGCTTCACTGCTGGTATTGAATGCTGGAGAAAAGAGATCAGAGCTGTTCAGGCTAATGGAGAGTTAAGAGAGCCTTCCCCATGATGACTGGGATCTCTTCCTCCTCAGACTGTCCAGCCTTGGGCTTGGAATCCAAGGGTCCTTGCCAAGGCTGCTCTATTCATCTCTCTCTCTCTCTCTCTCTCTCTCTCTCTGGTTCTCTGATTTTTGCCTCTTTGTCACTCTGTTTCTTCCAGTAAGTATAGAGGAGCCTGTTTTCTGTTTTACCTCTGCCTCTATAGTCCCATCTTCACTGTTTTCTTTTCTTTTGTCTCTGTTCCCATCCCTCTGTCTCTGGTTTTGTGTTTCCCTCTCCCTTCACCTTCCTGCTTCTATCTTTACATTTTTCTCTATTGTAGCCTCCCTCCTTGTGTTTCTATCTCCCTCTTTGTGTGTCGGGGAGGGGAGGGAGGGAAGTCCTTTTCTTCTTTCTCTTTTTTGTCTTCAGGGGATCTAGGATTGACCCTTGGATTCCAGGTCTGGTTGCCTCCCACCTGGAGACAGTACTTCCCACAGACCACACTCTTATGGTCTTCCCTGGAAAAGTTCTTGGACAAATATAGGAGTGGGGTGGGGAAAAATGAGAAAAATATATGGGAATCTCACCTGGATTATAGGGATACTGAGGGAAACCTGAAGGCCATGATGCTGGGGGAAATAAAATTCATCATTAGACAGGTTCCAGGGGTCCTTGGCTTTCAGCTGGACTGGAGGCTAAGGAGAGACAATGAGATGGCAATATCATAAGCAAAAAGGACCTTGAGATGAACCCGAACCCTCAGGCATTGCAACTGCCAATCTTGGCCCAGGAGGGGAGACAGAAATGTCCTTCCTTCCTTCCTTCCTTCCTTCCTTCCTTCCTTCCTTCCTTCCTTCCTTCCTTCCTTCCTTCCTTCCTTCCTTCTTTCCTTCCTTGGAGAGGCAGGGTCCTGTGGGCCCCTAAAGATGCATACACTGCTTGCTACAGTATCTCTGTCACAGAATCTCAGAGCTGCAGGAGACCTCAGACACCATCAAGTCACAAACATACTTAAGCAAGGATCCCCTTTCCAAAATGCCCAACAAGAAGTCATCTGGCTTCCACTAGAAGATCCCCCAGTGAGGATCAACACATTCCACTTTGGGGTACCAGATTGTTAGGACCCTTATCCTGACATTAACCCTACATTTGTCTCTCTACATCCTCTATCCATGGCTCCTACATCTGTCCTTTGTAGCAAAGCCGAATGATAGTTAATGATGGCTTAAGTGTTTCTGTGTATATGTATGTGTGTGTCACAAAAGTGGGAGGAAGAAATGAAGAAGAAAAAGGATAGCAATGACAGCAAGGAGGAGGCGGGGAGAGCTAGAGAGTCAGACCAATCTTGGTAATCTGGAAGCATCCAAGGGGATGACCACGATAGGAAAGGACTTCTGGAAAGTAGTCCCTAAGAGAGTCAATTGTGGGGGATCTACTGATGTTTAGCTGGGGAAGACCTTTGAAGGGCTAGCCTGTGGATAGGGACAGTCTTGTGCTGCTTAACCCCACAGAAGGCAGAACTGGGAGTGGTGTGGGCAAGTTGCACATAGGTGGCTTTAGGCTTTATGGAAGGAAAGACTCTAACAAGGGTCATCTCTCGGGAGGTCTTCCCAAAACAGACTGGATGAGCAATAACACCTTGTGTGTGTGGTAGGGATGAATTGGCTGGCTAAACTCAGGACTCTTCCAGCTCAGGGATTCCCTCTTTTAGCTGTCACTTAGCGGTAACCTCCTCTGGAAACCCTTGGAGTTCCAACACACTCACCAGCTGGGCCTCATCCACTCCCATGAGGCCACTTCTTAGCACGATTTGACTCTTCTTAGAAGAACTCTTTTGGATCAATAGGTCAGGAGCTAGAGTCTCTACTTCCACAGGCTCCTTGATTTTAACTGTGAAAAAATGAGAGGTCAAGGGGTGATAGACTTCTAGATGGTCAGGATTTATGCAAGGTAACAGCCAGAATTTGAGCCTACGTCCTCTAGGCTTTCCACTGGGCCATTCTGCCTCTTGAGCTAGGTGACCCAATCTTGGGAGCTCAGGGAGCTCTCCCTGGTACCCAAACATATAATCCCTCAATCTTATACTCAGAACTAAAAGAAGCCCCTAGGCCAACCTATAGCAATCTGCATGAACACAACCCAGGCAAATGTTCATCTAGACTCTGCAGTGTAATAGGGAGCCCACTACCATCAAAGACAGCCCCAAGCTGCTTCTGCATAATGCCTTCCTACCCTGGGCTTATTCCCCACCACAGCCATTTCCCCAGAACCCAGAACCACATTGGCCAGTTTGGAGGCACTTCAAAGTTCTTTTAGGATTCCCACAACTTCCCCTTCCTGCTCTCACTCGCTGGTGCAGGTGAGGCAATGGAGCTAAACCATTAAAAAGTCATACCCAGCAAGAGGTTTTCATCATCCTCATCAATGGTTAGGACTGGAGGATAGAGTGGTTTGGGCATGGCTTGGGCATCCCAAATAATGTTGTCTTCCCATCGGCCATAGATAAGGTCTTCATTCTCAGGGGTGAAAATTGACCCACCAGGCTGAGAAGGGTCACGGGTGCCTGCAGAGAGAGAAAAGAGTGGGGTGAAGCTCAGGATAACTGGATTAGGGTTAGCTCCAACCAGAACCAGGATTTAATCATCTAGCCCTATCACCAATCTCATACGTACTACTATTCTCAACACGTTCTCATCTCTGTTTTCTCTCCATTTTTATCCCTGCCCCTGACTATCTCCATACCTACCCCAACCCCATCTCCTTCTCCATCCCCATCTAGATCCATATCCCTATCTCCATCTCCAACTCTATCCCCGTGATCATCTCTGATCTCATCTCCTTCTTCATCTCCACCACTACTTCATCCCCATCTGTATTCTCATCTCCAGTTCCAGCTCCATCTCTATGTCAGCATTTCCTCACATCTCCATCCCAATCATTACACTCACATCCATCTCAATTGTCGTGACCCAAACCCATTCCCATTCCCTCCCCACCCCCATTTCCACCATTTTCCCAGTTCTTCCAGGGCTCTCTGACCTGTTTTGAGTAATCTGGTATTTTCAGAGGGAATCCACCCTGCCTGAGATACTTTCTGGGCATTAGGGCAGGACCCTTGGATGTCTCTGTTATCCCAGATTATGTCATCTTCCCAGGATTTCTGCATGACCATCAGGAAGTTTTCCTCCTTCAGCAAGGGGTGTTCTGTTTGGCTTGTCTCCTCCTCCTCTGGTGACTTTTCTTTAAGTCGAAATCCATAATCAAAACCTCTCCCATGGGGAGGGACACCCAGCATATCATACCAAAGCTTGGCAGGGCCATAACGCCATGGGGCCACCTCCTCTAAATGAGGGTCCTGGGAGCAGTTAGCTGATTGAGAGCTAGTCTGTGGGGCCACTGGAGTCATCATTTTTGTCTAGAGTGGAACAGAGGGTATGAATTAGGTTTGGGAATAAGGATGGAATTGTGGAGATAAGATGGCTTGGAAAAGAGACTAAGGGTGGAAACAGAAATGGAAGTGAGAGTGGGGATGATGATGGTAGTAACCTGAATGGAGAGGTACTTGAGGGTGCCTACAATGACGGGGTGTTTGGGGAGGGGGTTGACATGCTATTTGGGTTGGGAAATGTGATTGGCATGGAAATTTCCCTCCATCCCGTCATCACCTCATCGTCTGTTAGGCATTCCTCGGGGCCTGGTGGTCTTATCATCTGGGAGCCCCTCTGGACAGGTTCTGAGGGACACTGTCCCTTCTGTTTTTTCCTTCTCATCCGCCTTCTGACCTTCTCCCACGTGGATGGTGTCTTCTGGGATTCAAAGAGTTGGAGGAAACGAAGAGTCTGGAACAGAAAATGGAAAATTGGGAAAGGGACCCCCCCCATCAGAGTGGCTGGGTGGGACTCAGGACTCCCTTTCATGGCTTGGCTACTGAGCCTGAGTGGGTTATCTCCACCATTCCCTTTAGGTGTTTGCCTGGGATCTCCTTGGTCAGGTGAGCTCAGTCAGAATGCAAAAAGAGGGAGATTTCAAGAGGGCTGGGCCTTTGGTTGATCTTAGAGAGTAGTCACCACAGAGGCCTCTGCTACTCAAAGTGATGAGAAGGAAGAGGGTGGTCCTCCCCAGCCCCAGCAGCTCAAATGCTCCCTTGCACCCTGTTGTTGCAAAAATTCACCAGGACTTCAGACACCTTTAGTGGCCGTGTCTGCAAGGTCCTTCAAGAAAGATGACCTTCTACATGTCTGTGAGTCTCTGTCACTGTGTCTCTTCCTCTAGTGGGGGCCTCACTGTCTCTATTTCCTAATCCAGGGTCCTTCTATTTACTCAACTCTGGATTTTTTCTCTGTCTTTCCTTGTAAGTCTGCTTCTCTGGCTTCCTCTCTAGGGCTGTCTCAGTGTCTGGGTGTTGGCTTCTGTTTGGATGTCAGGCCCTGTCCCTTCTCTTCCGCTTCTGCTCTCTGCACGTGGCCCCAACCTACCTTTCCATGCCTAAATTGTGGCCAGAGCTCTGTGACTGTAGGCATGCTGGTGTCTCTTGGGCTGGCTCCCCAGGAATCCCCATGATCCTGTCCATGCTCCTTAGGTGCATACTCTTTCTCCTCCTCAGAACCGCTGGAATCCACAGGTGACTCCTCCAGGAAAGAGGTATCGCTGTCTCCAGAGAGTAGGGTCGTGTCTTCTTTCTCCATTTGGGATCCTGCATTAAAGAAAGATCTTGGGTTGGGGGTCCCCATCCCCTATCCTGGGGCAGCCTTTGCCAGGGGGACAGGTTAGAGGTGTTCCTTTCCCACATCTAGTAGAATGGAAGCACCATAAAAGCAGGGATTGTTTCAGTTTCCTCTATATCCTCAGAGATGACAGTGACTTCAACCCAGTAGGTGCTTAATGAATAATGGGAGGATGGAACTGTATTTCCACCTCTCATCAGAGCCCCTGCTCACCCACCCCTGTCCAGCATGAGAGCCTGAATCCTGGAGGTGGGCTGTCAGACCACAGAAGGCCACCACCCTCAGGGAGGGTGGGCAGGTCAGTATTGACTCAGCCCCAAAGAAGAAGCCCCTGAAGTGAACCTTCACATTTAGTCAGTCAACAAACATTTAATCACACTCTCTTCCCAAATGTTCTGGGGTCTGTCCTCATCACCTGGAATCCAGGAATCTAATTTTCCTTATGTTTTTCTGCCCTTCAACAAGGCAGATCTTAAAGCACATATGGCTGGATTTGTTCATGGAATCATAGATTTTAGAGCTGGAAAGGATTTTAAAATGATCTGGTCCTACCATTTTACAGAGTAAAGAAACTCAGATGGAAGAAAGGAAAATGATTTGCCCAGGGTCACACAGGGGTTGCTGAAGACTTGGGAAGGCAAGACTTCAGGGAGCTGGCCCATGGTGGGGTGGATAAGCAGGGACAGGGATGGGGAGCTTGCTCCCAGCTCCTCTTACCCTGTCCTGTCCACCAGAGCCCAGCAGGCGCATCCTCCTCTGGGAAGCCCCCTCTGTTTTCCTAGTCCCCAAGGCTCTCTCCTCATTGCAAGCTCCCCCAGGCTTGATATTTTTCCTGCACAGTCATAGCACCAGTCCCTCTGAAGGGATTCATTCACTTTTTGTGGCCCTGAACTCCTGACCCTACGGCCCAGCTCCCATCCCCTAGAAGCTGAGGTCAGGTCTTGACCCACACTGAGGGACCTCTAAAGACCTGCCTTGTTAGCAAGGACTTTGGTTGGGAGAGCAGAACAGTTCCCTGGGGCCCTGACCCTCTTCAAGTCCCTCCCATTGCCCAGGCCTCATTTTCCTCAACTGTAACATTTGCAGTAGGGGGACACAGATGTTAAGTGAGTTTGAGGATCTTGCAATTCCTTCCCACCCCCCTACACAATTAGCATTTTCTTGTAGGAAATCTTGGAGAACTAACCTGTAACTCTGACAGCGTGTAGAGGAAGAAGAGATGGGAAGCCTTCTGTTCTGCTGGACTCTGCAGGCAAAGCTATTGCCATCAGCTGAGATTTACTCCAAAACTTACATTTACACCTTCTGCACAGGGAGGATTTACACTTCTCCAGAGGTGTGAACAAGCTTGGGGGGGGGGCTATGACAAGGGTGTGGCCTTTGTCCTCAGAGATGTGAACTGGGAATTCATGCAAGACCCTGAGAACTCATTCATTCCAACCCAATCATAAAGGGCCAAGCCAAAACCCCAAGGCAAAACACAGGAGGATCTTCACAGACCATTCTAGAGCTTCATTCCTATGGTTTTTTTGTTTGCTTGTTTGTTTGCTTTTGCAGCTAGGTGGTAGGGCCCAGAGTTAGGAAGAAGACCCAAGTCCATTTCCAGCTTCAGTTATTAGCTGGACGAGTCACTTAGCTGCTGTTTTGCCTCATTTTCCTCAACTATAAAATGGGGATAATTACAGCACCTATTTTGCAGGGTTGTCATGAAGATTACATGAAATAGTATTTGTAAAGCATTTAGCGTAGTGCCTGGCATGTAATAAGTGCTATTTACATACTTATTCTCATTCCCTTCTCCTCTTCCCCATCAATATTTACCTCATCACTCCCCAACTAGAGAGCCAATGTAAAAACAAAAAATAAAAGACAGGAAAAACCATTATTATTATTATTATGATTTATAAATCAGCTATTATGGGCAAGGGGAAATTTGGCTTCTTAACTCTAAGTGTATTTTTTTCTTTGTGTTTTTATGTTATTACTTGTGGTTGTGTTAATTGCATAGTCACTTACTATGATATTGATTAATCTTATATAATTATAGGCTTTGATATACAATAGAGATGAGCAATTACTCACGGAACAGAGAATCCCTCAATTAACTAAGTAGGTAACATTTAATATTTTAATATATAAATACAAATTGATGTTTGTACTTAAAGAAAAACTGAGTAGGTCTCACAACTAACTGGTTTAATTAATGAGAAAGAGGTCACAATTTTCTTTAAAAATAGAAAAATATACAAACACATCCAGGCATTGCCTTAGAATTTGAGATGCTGAGAATTAACATGATAATAAGTCAAGTATGAGGCTGGTAGAAGATCAGTCACATAGGCTATGTGTGAGTGTGTTGGGAATTAAATCTCCTCATATACTTATCAATGCTTTTTCAATTTGTTTTATTACCAACTTGTTTTACTTTCCTTTTCTTTCAGGCCTTTTCCTTTTTCACCTACTTTTACTTACTAAATACCTCTTCCCTTTTCTGCCTCTCCTTGAGACATTTTCTTCAGGTCCTTATTCCTTCAAACTTGATTGTCATTGAATTAAACCTTCTTTCATATTGAATGTCCAACTTCAGCTCACAATGCTCTCATTCAGTTTATGTTTAATTTCTTCCTATTTTCCTCTCCCCCGAATTCTTTCTCTGGCTTTCTTTGCAAGTCCAAATCCCTCACAATGACTTTCACAATTTCTTGTTGTTATATACATCAAATCTTTATCTCCTGTTTTGTCTCCTACAACTTTCTTACAAAGAAACCAGAGTAGAACGTGGACCTGGAGATTAATTTCCTTCAACTCTTCCATATCGTGTCCTGAATTTTACCTCAATAAATTCAATGTGTTTTTCTTCACAGGCTCAGACTCCCCCAAATCACCATTTTAGTGGTGTTTATCTCTTTAAGATCAGGCCCATTTCCATTGACTTGGTTCCACTCCCAGAAATTTATCTCATGGAAGCCTGAGGGAGGACTTCTTTCCTCTGTGTGTTCTTCTGGCATCTCAAACTCCATTTATCAAAATTGGCATTCATTATCATCATCGAGATTCAAAAATTAGCACTCACATCATCACCACTTTCAAAAATTCCCTATATCTGTTAAAAGCCCCTCCATGCTTCTAGTCATCCACATTTAGGACCTTGGAGACATTCTCAAGTCTTGCATCTCACTGCCCATAGCCAATTAACTGCCTCATATTCTCAATTCTACTTCTACAGTATGTCCAATAGCCATCCCTTCATGTCCATTCCCATAGTGACTATTTCAGCTCATGCTCCCACTGGTTCTCTACTAGACTATTCTAATAGTCTCCTAATTTGTTTCTTGGATTTTAGGGTCTTCCCTCCCCCATTGTCCACATAACTTCCAAGATAATCAAATCACAGAATCACAAAACTTTAAAATCAGAGGGGACTATATGGCTACTTAGAACCTTTGATCCAATGCATACTTGAAGAGACTTCCAACTGTCCCTACCCTTTCATACAATAGTCTCACCACTGGCTTTATACCCTATGGAGGTCAGTGAGAAATACAAAGGTATTCCGGGTACTAAAATTCTCATACCAACATTTTTTTCTGTTGGCTAAAATACGGAATACGTTATGTGTCCAATTGAGGAATGGCTGATCCAAATCCAGGTCAAAACCTTGCAGAGCTTAGACCAGGAGGACAATGATTAGACTCTACCCAGCATCTGACCATTTTGCAAGCACTCAAGGGAAAAAAAAAGAGAGAAGTAAAAGAAATGAGATCTATTGATGAAAGAATTGTAAAAGGAATTAACAGCTTGGTGCAAGTCATACAAATCCTTGTTGTCTTTGTGGGTTTGGTTTTCTTTTTTTCAGTTTTCAGGTGTGTACTAATGAAATACTAATTCACTCTACATTAAGAAATGAGGAAATAGACATAGAAAGTCTTATATGAACTGATACCCAATGACATGGATTGTGAGCTCCAGAGGCAGGGAGTGTCTTTTGCTTCTTTTTGTATACCCAGCACTTAACACAGTGCCTTATACTTAGTAGGTACTTAATAAATGCTTAATGACTACCTGGGACAATGTAGGCAGAAAAAGAACAACTTATGCTTTGGTATCACATTCTCCTTCCAAACTTGAAGCACCAACAGGGCAGCTAGGTGGTGCAATGGATAGTGGACCTGGACCTGGAGTCACAAGGACCTGAGTTCAAATCTGACCTCATACAGTTACTAGCTGTATGACCCTAGGCAAGTCACTTAACTCTGCCTCAAAAATCTCTCTCTCTCTCTCTCTCTCTCTCTCTCTCTCTCTCTCTCTCTCTCTCTCTCTCTCTGTGTCTTCCTCCTCTTCCTCCTCCCTCCCCTCTCTCTATTGCCAAGTCTTCTCAATTTTGCCTTTGTCATCTCTGTTCTAAGCCCTATTCTCTCCTCTGACATTGCCACCATGCTGGAGCAGACCCTCATCACGTTACACCTGACCAACTGCAATAGCCTACTGGTCAGTCTGCCTGCCACAAGTCTCTTATTACTCCATTCCGTTCTGCTCTCAGAAAATGATTTTCCTAAAGTGCAAGTCTTACCAAATCAACCCCTGATTCCTGCTCAGTAAACTCCAGTAGCTCTTTGTCCCCTCCAAGAGTAAGCAGAAAATCTCTTTAGCAGCCAAAGCCCTTCACAATCGGGCCCCTCCTACCTGTCCAATATTCTCACACCTCATTCCCCCTGTCCCCACCATTTCTTCTATGATTAAGTGATACTAACTTTGGATGTCCCTCACACACGACACATCTCCCAGCACTGTGCATTTTCACTGACTGTTCTCCTTGCCTGGAACACTCTCCTCCTCCTCACCTTTCAGATTCTGGCTTCCTTTCTTTAGCTAAAATCTTAATTATCCAAGAAGTTATTTCCAGTCCCCCTCAGTTCTAGTGCCCAACTTCTACTGATTATCTCATATTTATCATACATATA